AGATGACACATAGCTTTACAGTGAACATTATGGGAACCTCTTTTCAGAGCTTGCATCTTAATGATAACAACACACTTCTTCATTACACACTCTTCATGTCTTTTACATTACTATAATGGAAAACTGCAAATTTGCACAGTATCTTTGGGAAATGAAAAATGAATCCTATTTCTGCCTTTCTGCAAAAGGCAGAAGTCAAACATCTATCAATGCTTATAAATATCTAAAGGGTAGGTGTCAAGAGGATGGGGCCAGACTCTTTTCAGTGGTGCCCAGCGACAGGACAAGGGGCAATGGGCACAAATGGGAACACACGAAGTTCCATCTCAGTATGAGGAAAAACTTCTTCACTCTGAGGAAGATAAAGCACTGGAACAGGCTGTCCAGAGAGGCTGTGGAGTCTTCTTCTCTGGAGATATTCAAAACCCGCCTGCACGCGATCCCATGCAACCTGCTTGAGGTGATCCTGCTTTAGCAGAGGGGTTGGCCTAGATGATCTCCAGAGGTCCCTTCCAACCCCTACCATTCTGTGATTCCATGATCTGTATAGAAGGAATATGCTTCATAGGCTTCAGAAACACACACCTTGTGAACTACGAAAAAAGGAACAAATAACACAGGGAAAAGATGGAGTATCTCTTCCCTAGCTCGTGAATCTAGGACTTCACTAATACTTAGATCCATTTCTAATCTAATGTTTAAAACATTTATACAGAAATGGTTGAGGCTGCCAAACTTGTATCTTTTACCTATTATTACTTAAATTACATGTATTGAAAATCCATCTCTAGGGATTCTCAGAGAATTTTACAGATATAAATTTATTAATCTTGTTCCCATTCCATGAAGTACTTGAATACCTGTTTAAAAAAAAAAAAAAAAAGTAAGCAGGACATTCAACAGACTTCTCCTATTCCTACTGAATTCACTGGCAATCCAGAACAGCGTAAGGCTTAAGTTACTTGCTGAATGTTATACTGAACAATTGCGCTGGGGCTTTGAACAAATAGTTGCATTCTCAACTCTGTATTTTGATCACAGTGACATCTCTTTCTTTTTTACAGAAATAAAATTCTTCCCTGTACCATATAGAATTATCAACCTAAATATACAACCACCACCAATCTGTCTCCTAATTTGGATTCATTTTTTCTTAGGGAACCATAAACCCAAATACAGTCATTTAAAATATAATCATGTATTTTGAGCACAGAAAAATGTTTAGTGGTTTGATTTTGGGGTTTTTTAGGTAAATTATGCATTTATGGAAAAATAATTCAGGGCATGTAGATCTGTTTTAAAAATTCATCCCATTCTACAATTATTTGAATCAATACACATAGTAGACTAATAAGTGTAACTTATGGATTTTAACATACTGCTCTTGACAGTAGGGCGACACATATGTTAAGGGAGATCTAATGACTGGCACTTTAATGTGAGAAGAAATATCCAATCAAATATTAAAAATGAGCCAAGAGATGGCGATTACATTATACTCTTCCTTGTGCTCAAGAGTTTTAACCACCAATATTTCAAGGAGAATGTGTCCTCCAGAAGGGAAGAGAGAAGAAAATTCCATTTTCCAGTTTTATGCATATATAAAATAATGCTGCTAAACTGATTTAAATACGAAATAAAACTATGCTACCTCTGTGTAAAAGGCAGCTCACCTAAAACTACTTATATTGGCACAACATCTCTGTTTTGACTGCTGATACAAAATGTCTTTAAGTAAGTCCTCCATATCTTTGATTTTTTCAAAGTTAAGGAAGGCTAATTCCTCAGTGGTTGTTGAATCCAAGAACATATAAATGCCACTCCCAAAAGACTTCACTAGTGTTATGTCACCCAAATGAGATCTTTAACACTTAACAAGTCTTGCCTTGGGAGAGATAAGGACAAACAAATCCAGTCTCTCCACTGAGCTTATTCCGGACAGAAATGTGTCATGAATTAATTATACAAGCAAAATCTTGTACCTCAACTGGAGTGGAATACCGTTTTTTCTTAAAAGGATGCCACAGTCCCTATGGGACATCCGAGCTATTAACATCTCTACTCAAAAATAATGTTCAGAGTTCTAAGGGGATATGGAAAATGCCAAAGCTCTCAAGAAATGCAAGGACAGAAATGAAAATATTTGCAAAACAATAAACCCACAGGGAACCAAACCTTTTCCAAGCTGTCAAGCAAATGAACAAAAACCAATACAGCTTCATGAAAGCAAATGGCTCTATGCTGAGAGAAGAGCACTCAGCAGCTGTTCTTTTGCCTAAAGAACTCAGTGTTATCTGGATGCCAGTTAAGACATGGGGAGGATGGATAATTGACTTGAGATCCCAAAACATGAATCCATCTCTTTAAACTTATCATACTGTATACAAAATAGGTTTCTAGTAGTGCACTACAATACACAAGATTTCCTTCACAGTTAACATAGCACAATGCAAGACTATTGTCAAGCAGAAGTATAATGCCAGAGACATAGAGTAAAAAGAGACACTTTGGCCATTATCTAGTAATTTCTTTCAGAGAGGCCCAGTAAAAACTCTTGTTCTTCACCTCATTCACCCTTCCTCTCTGTCTCCTGTGAGGGAATCCATAGCTGTTTACAACTGGGATCTCTGGGGCACAGAAACATTAAGCCTCTTGCCCAGCCTTGTATAAGGAGGTCACTGGCAGGACCAGTGCAGATCTTGCAGAAGCTAATGACATATTGATTACCTTTTTTCAGATGTCTTGTCCTGGAGCAAAGTATGCATTTATGTTCTCAAGCCAGTGATCTGTTAGGTATCCTCTGGAGAGCAATCCTGAAAGGAGATACCATATATATTAGAGAAGCCATACACAAGAAAGCTATGTGAGAATGGAGTTTGTAAAAACCAGTAACTGAACAGACTGCTTTACCCTTGGCTACTCTGTTTTCTGCCAATTTAAAACAGTTTCACAAGGACTTTTAACCATTAATATCCCAGTAGTTTTAGTTTTTAACCCTACTTTGAAATCTCTGAGCTTACCAGGCTCTGCAGAACAATTCCATCCAGTTTACTGCCTTGGTGTCAGATTAATTGACCACGTGGGAGGAAGATGTGTGTGTCTGTACACAGCCAGGTGCTCAGGACTCTGAGAAACTACTCCACCTCTTAGTGGTCCACAGGGGACTAGGAAGAAGGAGAGAGGGTTCGTAAAACTGGTTTCCACTAAAAAGATCAGACCATCCTGGATTAGAGGAACTGGACAGAGGAGATTTGGTCTTTGTCCTGTGACTCCATCAATAAGGGGAATGCTGGGCACCTGGACAAAACAGAATGGGCCATTTGCTTATGGCTCAATTGACTGGGGGAATGCAGACATTGGGGTGGAAAGGCCTGGGCTATTTTGTCATGGCTTCATTGGTCAGGGGAATGTAGGCACCTGCATTGCACAGCCTGGGCAATCTGCCCATAGCTCTATCGAACAAGGAAATATGGGCACTTCTGATCTCACCAAACAGGGCTGTTTGCAACTTTTTAAGTAGCTGACAGTATAAGGGAAGGGAACCAAAAGAAAAAAGAACACAGCTAACCAAACAGAAAATTCTGTGGACAGGTGGGAAGTGTACCACTGCCTTTGCTGTGGTAGTGCCAGGTGTAGCTCTGTGTGAAGCCTGGCAGCTGATTCTGTTAGTTTAAAAGAGTTTATCTCCCAATGTGCCATCAACATGCAACAGAATTATCTTCCAGGCACGTACCACAAGCTCTTTTCTGGCTTCTGCAAGCAAAAGGAGCAAAAGTATTTTACATGCTGCAAGTATTTAAATTGGTCAGTTCACTAGAAAGAAAGAAAAAGAAAAACACAGAGAGAGAGATAGAGGGAATCCCTATGGAAACAAACTTTTCACTCCTCTAACAGAGTTAGCCAGACAGACACTGTCACCACTTATAAAGCAGGGCCAAAGAACCCTGAGGGCAAGTCCCTCTTCTATGATGGAAAAACTCGAGCAGAGGAGAAAATAGCTCTCAAATTTGAGTTAGCATATCCATAGAGAACATCTAAGCCTGGGAACGAATGCATCCAGCTGTGTAGGTCACTGGCATGGACTGTGGTACAGCCGTCCATTGTCAACCTCTCCCCAAAAGCAACAGAAACAAACACACCCTGAGAGATACAGAAGGGTAGAGCAGTGCATGAGCTAAAATACAACATGTCCCTTTAGTCAATGTTAAACGTTAAATTAAAACTGTGATACTCAAAACCAAACTGTTGCTGTTCTGGAGAACTATCAAACAGCATAAAAGCTGTGACAGAAGAGTAACAAGCCGCAGGCAGTCAGTAGGCACAAAGTGCCTTTGGTCCTGCAAGCTCACTGCAGTGTAGCTACTTTCTTCCCTGAATTAATAAACCATCTGGCTTTTTTTGAAGACAGGGTTCTCTCAATGCTTACTCACCCTAAGCCAAGCTGTGTTTTCTAGCACATAGTTCAAGTGACCAAGCCCAAAGTCTCATCACAGTTTCCATTTCTTTCACAGATCCCCTCAGTGCCTTAGTTTACCAGACTCTAGAACTCATGCTAAAGCCACATTCCTAAAATGCTTTGAGAAATTTGGGTGTCATTAATACTGCATTTATGCCAATAAAACTTGGATTTCTCTAAGTGACACTGTTGTCACTTGGCTCAGAAACACAAGGAAGTAACTAGCGCTTGACAAGTTATCACGTATTGGCTTAACTGCAAGAAGTGACTGGGCTCAGTAACCCCAGGGAGAGATATTTAAACTAAGGCATTTCCTATCTCACATCTGAAATGGGATGAAAGCAGGTACACAGTCACTTGCTGTGGCTTGGCCAGCTTGTGGTAACTCAGCTGTGATGTTCTGGGATCAGTCACAGCCCCACAACTGATTATGCAGAGTCTTCTAAATAAGAACTATTACTTCTTCCTGAACATTGCCTTGGAATGTTTCCTGTGTATGCAGAGTCCTATATCTATTCTTGGATGTGTATCTTCTGTCTTTCAGGTGATTTATCGTGCCTTAAGTCCAGCTAACAAGATCGAAGACCCCTATAGTCCTGAGGCTCAAGATCTCCTGAAACTCACCAACCTCCGCCTCCTTTTGTTAAAAAGACAGGAATGTCCATGCCATGGTTCGGAATTGGTAGAGAAACCTCAGAGATTTGCCCACTATGCTATTTATGACCTGATCATCCGGGGAAGCTGCTTTTGCAATGGGCACGCAGAGGAATGCGAGCTTGCCAACAGCACAGGAGTCATGGAGAACGTGGTGAGTTCTAGACATTCACTAACTAGACTTGTTAGCCACTTGTGCTTTCTCAGCCTAACCACACATTTTGTGTGTGATCCTGTCCAAGTCTCCCTAAGACTATCTAAAAAAGGGCAGCACTGTCAATCCACATTCATGAAACCTAAACCACTCTGGAAAAAGATTTCCTATAACCGTTGCTGCAGTTTCATATGTATTAATTGCATTGCTAGAGATGGGTCCTTCTAAAAAGTCTGGACCTCAAAATACCTATAAATTGTGAAGGGGCTTTATAATTGGAACAGAGATCCAGTCCCAAATATTGTGAATGAAATCTCCTACCTATATGCCTGCACAGAACTGAACTAATATCTTTGATGCAAAGTCTGCCCGGACCAGAATTTCAGCATCAGATCTTGAATCTCAGATTTTCTGAGTTTGTGAGACATAAGCAGTTCTGTCATACTTACAGTTTCAGCCTTTACTTTTTCATCCTTCTGTATTTTTGTTACTTTCACTACACAGATAGCAGTGTTCAGGATGTGAAAATAATTTCCACTTCCCCCCTCTTTTACCCATTCAGCTTAAAATAAGTTAGAATAGGGTTTTTTTAAAAGCCAAACCTTGTAGGAACATTATTCTGTAGTACTATGACTAGCCCCTCCCTTTTCAGTCTTTTATCTGCATTTGACCCTGGATGTGCAGATGTGAGTTGCGTTTGTATGCATACTCAGAAGTTGTGATTCAGGGGGAATGACTGCTCTCTCCATTTTGATTTAGCTGCAAGTATTATACAGAAGAACTCAATAACAGTCACAGGGAAATGTTGCTAACCAAATAGCCAGGTACATCTAAACACATACATCACAGAGAGAATTCAAGTCACTTTAAACTATTCAATGGCTCCACTGGTTCCAGAAGGCTGTCTGTCTCTCTAATGGGTTCTGAACACCAAAATAACCCTTATAACTTTAGTCCTTGATGAACTCTGACTTAACAGACTCAAGAAATACATCCTCAGCTCATTTCTGTCCCTTCAGATATATGGTACCCTTGACATTTTGGTTTATATTCTTCTGGAATGTGTATTCCTTGACTTCCTTTCAACTTTTCTAGGTTCAGAGGTAGATACTGTAAGATAATTAGAACTGTATGAGTTTCACAATATTTGCAAAATCATTTCTGAATCAGTTCCATCTGTGGTATAAATCTAAGATTCAGCTACAGTATTCCAGCACTAGGTGATACGATCAGATTCCATTAAATATAAACATAGGCTCACTTAATACATAACTGTGTGGAGAAAAGCTGTTTATTGCAAACTGCTAAATATACACATAGTGAAACCAAATAGATGAATAACTTGCTAAATGAATACAGCTGGTAGAAGAATAAACACTCTGCCCATCAGAAAAGGAAAACACAATATTGTGTATATTACTGGCATAACCATTGTAAACTATGACTGGATTTTTTTCCCACTAGTCACAAGGGAATAGAATCTTTTTGTGCCATCAATGACTTCATGGGGCAGAAGGGGAAATAGTTTTGATGAAATGCACTTCATGAGTGACTCATGTCCCTGGAGACAAGAGGGTGGATGCATCACATCATTCACACAGGCACAGATATTAGCAAGTCTTTGCCTAAACAGGGATTCAAACGCAGCAGTGGGAAAAGTGAGAAAAGTCTCCCAGAGCTTTAACTATCTCTAGAATCCTAGATGAGAGCTGGAAAAGACCATAAGTGAGCTGGTCTGAGTCCTCACATAAAGGCATGGTCCAGCATACCTAAGCCATGAATGCATCTTGAACATTTTTTGAAAATCTCTGATGAAGGGGATTCAACAGCAACCCTCAGTAGCTGTTCCCATTTTGACATTTTGAAAGCTCTTCTTTAGTGCCTGCCTAAATAATCTCTGCTGCAATTAAGGAGATTCTTTCTTGTCCTCTCTCCTGCAATGATCATGGAGAGCAGTTGATCCTCATTCTGTAGATATAATTGGAAGATTCTTACTGTATCCTTTCTTAGTTTTTGGGGTTTTGTAGTAACCAGACAAGTGTGAAATCTTCAGCAGTCAAAATTTAAAATTCTACTCCCAGGTCATACAAGTCCGGAGTAAAGATGATCATGCTATTTTGCTCCTCTTTTCTGTGCTTTAGTCATTACACTCTAGCTCTTTCTCAAATGAAAATCCACTCCTGGAAGAGCCAGGTTCCTGGATTCTTTTACTTTTTATCTGATACTTACCGATGATGATATTGTAGTGGTGAAGGGAGAGTTCACATAGGTACAGATCTCAGGATTTGGTTTACATAATTGGCATGAGGAAGTTTATATAAGTGTATATCTTTGCATCTTACAGTACGGTAAGCTCCTTGCCTATGTGCGGAAGGAAAAGGTCTACGTCTTTGTTGAGTGGTGAACACCAGTAATACATTTCGTATCAGCCAAACTACATTGCAACAAAAATCTTTGCCACCTTGCAATTTCTTGGCAGAGACAGAGAAGGTGCTCTACTTTCAGTCACATGATGACTAAAACAGGATGGGGAAAAGAGATGTTATAAACAAACACTGCATGTCCAGAAACAATCTGATTCATTCCACTGGCTGCATCTGCCCATGAACGCACGGGCAGAGCAAGTCTCAAGACACACTATTTTGTAGCATGGCTAGTGTGGGTGATATCACAGCATGAAGGCAGAGCAGCTTCATGTTTCCCGGGCTGCTGTCAAATAATTAAATAAAACGATGGAAAAATACAGACCTCCACAGAAAGGCTTAAGTAATAGGAGTTTCAGTCTCTTAAGAGTTCAGAGTCATCCTACAATGTATTTATTTTCTGTAGTTAACCAAAACAAAAGCAAGTCCATGTAGAAAACAACTGTAATTGTTTGCCATGGGATAGGCCCAAAACCTGAGATCATTCTGCACTTAGGTCTTGGAAGAGACATAATTGTACTAACTTGTAAGTCTGTTCTTCTTACGCTTTCTTGAGAGAAATCTGTTCCATTTGCAATACTACTAACACTGCTAGACTGATACTATATGGGGGCTAAATAAGGGAGAAAACTAAAGCAAATTTCTTGAGACTTTTGAACCAACACTTTCCAACACCATTTTGGACGGACTAGATGATCTATGACTACTAGATGATCTATCAATGATCAGTTTATCTGTGGATCTGTCAGTTCAGTCATGACAAACCCATTCAGCTTGTGGCTTCTCCACTGAGGCTACCAATAAGAAATGCAGCTCTATGAGAAGTAATGTCACAGACACCACAGTGTCATAGAAATGAATGGATAGAAGAAAACTGCAAATTTTAAAGCCATCCTCCAAATGGTACATCATTCCTCATGGCTTGAATTCCTAGATAGTTTCATGCATGTTCTCTCTGGTTGTAAGTCATTTGTGAAAATACTGAGTACAGCAAGGTTCAAAGAATTCCGCAGGATCCAATGGAAATGTCCTTTGACTTCTTGTTCTGGCAGCAAACCGGTAATATTTAGTCTTTCAATGTGGCTTTTTTTTTTAACAAGCCATGCACCCACCTCAACACAATTAATCTAGTTCACACTTCCCTTATTAACTACTGAGACTATTATGTCAGACAGGAGAAAAACTTCAAGAAATGAAGATGGGAACTGTAAACAATAGGCAAGAAACTTATGAACAAACATATCCTGAATTTGGGGTTTGTTGCTATTGACAGTGGTGTTTTCTTGTTTTCTATTTCTTTCCTCAGACCAAAAAAAAGAGACACAGAAATGTTATACCTAACTTAAATAGCTTCTTATGATAACTAAGGACAAAAATCTCCTTTCTGAATTTCACATCCTGTATTATTCAAACTCTTATAAGTAGCTCCCTTGTTGGTGAGGGAAATTATTGAGATTGCATTTTGCCACAGAAACTACAGAGAAGCATTTTCTTTTAGAGGGCATTAATATGCTGTTACAAGGGAAACAACTGCCAGGACCTGGCCACCTGAATACACCTATTCTTCTTCTATGACTGGATGCAATGGAACGTAATCCTGCCCCAGGTATTACTGTTGCAGGATGTACAAAGTTACATGTTGCTTTACAGTAAATTATTTATTTATTAAGCTCCAACAAAGTTAGTATGAGCTGTCATGTTTAGGATCTGCTTTGATGACACATTTTAGCTGAGTCCAGAGGTGCTTCCAGAACGAAGTTTACAAAGCAGAAAGCACGCATGGACAGAATACAGAATCTAGACCAATGTCCTTTCTGTTTGCCAGACATTTCACAATCCTCTTTCTAGTCCATCAGAAGTAAGTATGGACAGAGGAAAGCAAGTGTGGATTAAAATGTTTTTGTATAAAGCATTAGGGTTTTTTTAGTTGTGAATTATTGGTACCTACACTGCCAGGAAATTCTTACAAGTTGCCTTGGATGTTTCTTTTGCTTCTTTATCCTGTTTACAGAGACAAACTAGACTCCCTGTGGGTCTGATCCTCCCCAATGAAGCAAATAGGAAGTTTTCCACTTACTTCAAAGGGAGCAGGATCTGGTCCCAAGTTAAGATTCCTTGTTTGGCATAATGGAGGTTACATAAGGTAAAACTTGTTTTTCTACAGCAATTTTCTAGGTGACTTGGCTGTCGTATCCCTTGCAAATATCACCTACTCTTCAAATATCTTGTGCAGTTCTGCTGATAATCCCCAGCTAAGTTTTCACATTATCTGATCCAAGCTGTGCCAGTCTGTATGATGTCCAGCACTCAGAGATGCAGGAGGTGCTTTCTTTTGTAGTTGGCAACTCAAAGAGTAGGTTTTGTTTAAGAAAAAGTTGCCCTGTGTACATCAACTATGTAAGTAGCATCAGGAATGCTTAAAAAAAAAAGAAGAAAAAAAAGATTACAAGAGCTTCTAGATCACATCAGAATAAATTCTAGAAACAGATCCATGTGCTGATTTTTTTTACCAAAAATTAAAACTGAATATGGACTTCTAGCTCTGCCCATAATGATCTGAAAACATAGAAGAAGATC